CCCACCACCGGCACTGGGACAGTGCAGCTTTCGGACCCTGTGTCGCCTCCCCAGCATCGTGGCAGTGGCACTGTCAAGGCACCTGTGGAATTTCTGTGCTGTGACCAGCCACAGTCTGGGCGGGATGCGAGGCTAGGTCTTTCCCACAGCCTGGACCTGGTTGCTCCTCTTCCCAATGGAGCTCCTCAATTTCTGCCATCAGTGACCTTTTTTAGCAATAGTTTCTTGTAAATCTCTGTGGCACAGAGCTGGTACTTGCACTGCTCTGGGCAGAAGAGGAGGAGGCAGCAAGCATGCCCAACACCCATGTGGCAGAGTCCAGCCCCCCACCACCCTCCAACCCTCACACCCCACCAACCCTGTTCCACAGAGCAGGATGAAGGCCAGGACACACACCCACACTGTGTTGAGCATCCTGCTACCACCAGCAACCCCGGAATGGCCTCCTCAAAAATCATGGTGCTCCATACAAAGGAGAGCGGACAATTCCCAGTGCCTCAAGGCAATGTGTTGGCTCTGTCCTGTGCTGGCCCAGCAGTGCTGCTGCCAGGGTGTCCCCAGAATGGCCTCTGTGCTGATCCAAGGGCCATTGTCTGTGGCTCGAAGGCAAAATTGCATCTCGGGAATTAAACATGAAGCGTCATTAAAGCACAATGTTCTATGGAAAGAGAAATGTGTATGAGCAGGATGCTGGGAAATAATTATCCCATCGGAAAATGCAGACACGCAAAAGGTGCTGTTTGCCATGAATTGTTTTCAATCCATCCCATAAACTACCCACTTCAAACTTCAGGAACAAATCCCTCCAGGCAGCCTGACACAGAGGAAAGTCACTTTTACACCCAGTGGGTTGCCTGGGCTGGGTTTTATTCCAGGGCTTCCAGTGTCCCTTTGGATGCAGGTGATGGTGTCCTCTGCCCTGTGTTTCCATCTCTGATGCTTTGCAGCTGATTCTTCCCACTGCTGTGAAGGGCCATGCATCCCTCTCCCTGTCACCACATCACCCAGCCACACTCTGTATTTATTGTAGGACCCCAGGAAACAACCTTGAGTGGGCTCAAACCCACAGCCCTGGCACCCAGGCACCTTATCCTGGGATGAAACCACACATAGGGTGAGATGGATGGCTGTGTTCTGCTGTCTCCAAATGAGCATCGCCTGACCCCACAGCCCTGGGACAAGTGGCTTCAAGCAGAGCCCATGGGGCCAAATGAAGGGTCCAAGGAGGGCGGGGGGGGAAATGGCATTGTGGCTCTCACTGAGGGGCTGATCCTGGGGCAGGGGAGGGGTGTGATGCTGCGAGAGGGAGGGGAGAGAGGGGCGGAAAGGGAAGAAGGGGAGGGAGGGAAGAAAGAAGGGGAGGAAGGGAAAAAGAGGGAGCTCTGGGTCTTCCCAAGGTGGAAAGCAGCTGTCCCTCCCTCAACTCAGCACTGGCCCTGCGTGTCTGGATTAGAAAATAAACCCGTTAGATGGAGAAATCATCCTCATCCCTTTTTGTTGCTTTAAATAAGCTGTAAGGAGTGTTTCCAGGATGAAAGGCTGAGCCTGGTGGAGGTTACAGCTGCTAAGCACCTGCTGTATGTGAGCATGAGAAATACTCCCGTGGATTAGAACATGAGGCTGCTCAAGAGACTGCGGGAAGAGACTGTTGTTGCTTTGTCAGCGCGTTGCTGGGCTGTGCCTCGAATCCCTGCAGGACTGGGGGGAAGCCTCTCTATGGAGAGAGATATATTTATGGTGAACAAAGTGTGTCGAGGAAGGAGTGCCATTAATGAAGCTCCCCCACTGAGAGTTCCAGGGCTGGGAAGTGATTCCATACAGAAATCCCCCAGGCTGAGGCAGAGGGTGGATATGATGGGGAGACACAGAGCAGTCTGACCCAGTCACGCTTTCATCGCTGCTGTTGGCTTGGCTGTCCCTTCACTTGCTCTGGCAGGCACTGAGGAAGAGGCACTGGCCTATGGCAGTCAATGTGGTGGGGGGTATTAGGATTATCCAAAATATTCCAGAGTGGTGACTAAAATATGGCTGGGAAAGGCTGATGCTGTGCAGTCTGGGTGGGAGTGAGGGTCACTGTCTCTCCAGCGCTGGTGTTTTGGGGGTGTCTCTGTGCTGGGGTGAGCAAAGCAGGCAGGGCCCAGCATGCCTTTCCCAGTCCCATATGATGAGGCTGCTTTGTTTTCCTGCTGGGCCACACACACGTCTTCCCAGTACCCAGGATCCCAGGGATGGAGCACCGGCTGCGGGGTAATTAGCTGTGCCTGGGGCTCTGCCATGCCATTGGGAGTGTGCAGGCAGGGGCTGTGGGCTGGGCGGGCTGGCAGATGGCCTGAAGGACTCTCTAGGGATCATGAGCCATTACCAAGCCATTACCAATAATCCAGTGTCTCTCTTCAAACGTGCAGTGGAAGTGCCTCTCCGGTGCTGCCGGAGGAGGGAGGTTGTGCCTGTGCCAAGACCGCACACCCAGCCCCAGCCGCTCCTCACAGCCTCCCCATAAAATTAACACGGGGTGTGTTGCTGTGCCCATGTGCATGTTAATGTTTCCTGTCACTTAGGGTAGCAGCAGCAGTGCTGGGGATAGGGACACATGGCTGAGGGTCTGGACTGTTCCTCCTGTGGTATGAGCCCACAATGGGGGTGGCTGCCCCCCAACCATGCTCAGGGAATGGGGTCTGTGCTGGCCATCAGACCTACAGATGGAGTGAGGAATGTGCTCGGGATCACTAGTCCTCAGGACCCACCTCTGCCAAGCTCCAGCTCCTTTGGTGCGAGCCAAGCCAGCTGCAGGGATGGTCTCCTGTCCCCACTGTCTGCTGACCCGGAGAGGAGGATCCTTGCCTCCTTTTGCTCATCTTTTCCAGAGCGGATGGGCCAGCCGTGGGAGCCCCGAGGCTCAGGCACAGGCCTTCAGCAGGCACTTGCTCCATTTGGAACCCACTCCCCTCCTCTGCCACCTGTTTCCCAGCTGCACAACCCCACGGAGCCGCCGGGGACGGGGACTGCACACAAAAGCCGCCGCCGCAGCCTCTGCCGGCGCTGACTCGCTTTAATTAGCCTCATCAAAGCCGGCTGCGTCTCTCCCTCCTGTAAGGTTGCAGAACATGATTAATTCAGGCAGAGAAAGCAGCCGGCCCCCGCAGAGAGGGGCCCCTCGATGAGGCCAAAGCTGTTTCCTCTCCCCAAGCACCTCATGCAGCAAGGTCAGGGTCTGCGGTTTCTCAACCCCAGCAGCACGGTTGGGGGCTTCTTTCTTCTGAGACAAAGCTGTGGATAGGCTCAGTCTGTCCCAGGAGCTGGAGAGGATGAGCAGGAGCGATTGTCTCGCTGAGCCCTGGGTCTCTCTCCCCAACCCTCTGACGCTGCTCTGGTCATGGGCATCACCCACAGCTCACCTGTGGGTCTACCTATGAAAACCACCTGGGATGTGCAGCTGGGATGGCACATCCAATGGGTCTGGGCTTGGAACCAGCCCCTGCACACACTGGGGTCCATGGACAAGCTCAGGGAGATGTAGGGATGCTCCAGCTGCCCCCAGCACTGGATTTCTCTGGCTGGTCCTCCCTGCTCCCACCTGTGCACAGCCCAGGGTGGCACACACCCTAACACAGCTTTATTAGCTGCATCTGCAGGCAAAGGGGTTTTAAAAGGAAAAAGCCTTTGGGGAAAAAGAGATAGACAGGGGGATCCCTTCCCCCTTTTCATTTCTGCCAGCACAGCTGCATACAGCGTTCCGACGGCACTCAATGCCCCGGAGAGGCAATTACTGCAGGAGCAGGGCTGGGCTGTTCTCCACTTCATTTTCCTAACACAGTTCCATCCTCTTGGAAAAGCACTGCTGCTCAGGGGAGGGTGCAAACCGAGTTCCCAGCATGGATCCTCCACCTTGGGAAGGACTCTGGGGCTTCCCCTTGCATGGCAGGGAGCAGGGAGGCCACCCCAGCAAGCACCAACACAACAGTGTTGTCAGGTTTTTATTTGAGTCTCATGAACATCCTTCCAAGGATCAAACCATGAGAAGAAAAACAGTGTGAGCCCCTGACAGGAGAGATGAGCTGCAGCCCCAAAATTACCTAAGCTGGGCGATGTGTGGGGAAGGGAAGAGGTTTCCAGAGAGAGCTCAGGAGCCTGAGCCATGCAGATCTTGCCCATTCCACCCAAGCCAGACATGCAGAGCTGCATGCAGTAAGACTGACAGTAGGAAAAGGTGTTCTATAAACCTCTTCTGCAGAGCTCCCTCCCTCCTACCCCAGCCCTGCACAGTGCCCAGCAGGCACCCTTCACTAAACTGCCTGCAGAGCTTCATGGACACCCCAGGAATGAAAAACACTGTGGCTGCAGGGAAGAGAAGGGGCAAGATGGGCCAGGAATTCAACCTGTGTCTCTTCTCATGCACATCAAAGGCTTTGCTGGTGGTGCTCTTCAAAGCCATTGGGCAGAGCTGTGTTTAGCTGACCCCAGCTGCTGCTGGGGATCTGCCCAGGGAGACCCTGTGGGTTGGGCTTTCCAGCCCTTCAATCAGGCTCTTGCACTGATACAGAGCAAGAGAGAAACCACCTCTGTGTGGGGAGCCATTCCAGCTGTCCCCTTCAGCAAGGCTGCTGTGGCTTCGCTGTGGAGAAGCAGCAAGGAGCCAGCTCCCTTCTCCACACCCATTACTTGCATGACCCCAGCAGCAAGCTCTGCCATCCCGGAAAAGCAGAGGAGAAATCCCATGGCACCCAGGCCATTCCCGGAGTGCCACACTCCACACTGGCACCTGGCTGAGCGCAAACAGCCAGGCACCCTCAGAGAAGCAGGGGAAAAATGGACCTACTGCCTCCTCTTCAGTACTGCAAACAGGGAAGCCTTTATAGCTGGTGGAACACACAGGAATGTGGCCCCAAACGGCGAGAAGGAAAACACTGCTGGAAATATCTATGTCCACCGGATGCACAGCGAAGAGGGAAGTGCCCCTGCTTCCCAAGAGACTCATCCGTGAGAAGCCACATGGTAACTCCTCACATAAACATGTCATCGTAGCCTGGAGGGGGAAGGTGGTCGGGATCAGGCCTGGAAAGAAATTCAGAGCAGAGTCAAACAGGAGTGAGAGCTCAGGCTGCAGCAGCAGGGATGAGCTGGGATCCAGCAGCATGCTGGAAGCAGGCTGGAATTCCAGCACAGGCAGAGACCTACCCGGATCGTCCTGCTCCTAACGGCCCAAAAGGGTCAAATCTAGCTCCTGGTGGAACAGCTCCCGGGGGAAGTCGGCCTGGGATGCCTGATGATGGGTCAATGCCACGCCGTGGGAAGCCAGACCGGAGAGGATCCATGATCATTCCCCCGCCCCGACTCCTGGGGAGAGGAAAGGCAGAGAAGTCATCTTAGTGCCATGATCCAGTAACGATGGTAGGATTGGACTTGATGATCTTCGAGGTCTCTTCCAACCTGGTTGACTCCATGATTCTATGAAATTGCCACTGGTGAGAGAGGAGCAAGGTATATCCCTCTGCCCCAAACCTTTGCTGTAGGAATTGTGAGCACAGGAACATGGGATTCACCCAACACATGGCACGTGGGAAGGAAAGCTCCCAGGACAAGCCAGTGAGGCTGCCCATGGCAGAAAGCCAGAGAGCCCTGCACAGAATCCCAGAATAGTTTGTGTTGGAAGGGACCTCAAAGCTTATCTCATTCCAACCTCCCTGCCATGGGACACCTTCCACTAGACCAGGTTGCTCCAAGCCGCAACCAATCAGGTCTTGAAGACTTCCAAGGATGGAGGAGCCACAGCTTTTCTGGGCAACCAGTGCCAGTGCCTCACCACCCTCCCAGGGAAGAATTTCTTCTCGATATCCAATCTAACTCTGCCCTCTGTCAGTGTGAAGCCGTTCCTCCTTGTCCTGTCACTCCATGCCCTTGTCCAAAGTCCCTCTCCAGCTCTCTTGGAGCCCCTTTAGGCACTGGAAGGGGCAATAAGGTTTCCCCAGAGCCCTTTCTTCTCCAGGCTGAACACCCCAGCTCTCCCAGGCTCCACAGCAGAGGTGCTGGCTGTCCCCTCAGGAAGCACTGGACCTGCTGGCCCTTGCTGCTGGCCGACATTCCATCCCTGCTTCCCATCCTTCCCTGTGCAGTGTCGCAAGAGCCGGCAGCCCCGGCTGGGCTCCCAGGAGCCTTTCCAAAGAGCTGCCTGGAAGTCATTTGCTGACCACGGCGGCTCC